TTACTCTTCTGGATTTAAAGATTCTCAAAGGTCCTGTGCGTCAAAGAAGACCTTTTGCAGTTGGAATTATGAGGAAATGGCTCTCCCCTTGAGTTTCCAAAAGGTAGCTGTATGGATTTATGGGCTCATGTAGATGGAGAGAGATGTATATAGTAAGATATATGTAATGAGATATATGCAACAGATCCTGTTTTATAATATAGTATGCTATCTACGTAGTATAATTTTTACATAATAAAACTGTGTTGCTTTAAACTACTAAATTTCTGGTATTTTCCTATAGTGGTAATAAAAAACTAATACAATTAATAAAGGAAAAGAATCACAGGATCTAAAACAAGGTTAAAAATAAACTGTATGACTGTTATTAAAATTAATAGATCACTAAAAATAACTTTATGCTAAAAACTTTAAAAGACTGAATCAAAAAAATCTGAAATGATGCCAAAATCTGGATAACACATGCACAAATATAAAGTATAATTTTACTTCTATATTTACACATAAACATTATGAAATCATTACAGAAAAATTCAAAATAAAAAAATTAATAGAAATCACTCTGCTGTTTTTTTTTTTAGCACTTTAAGCCTCATGATAATCTCATGAAAACAGTAATCTTATTGTATCTACTTTATAGATGAAGAAACAGAAGTTAAGTATTAGATTCAAAATTACATGGCTAGTAAGTTTCATAGAAAGTGTCTAAACACAGAGGGCCTGTTTCCAGTGCTTATACTTCACAGTTGTTATTCCAGAAATTCAAGGATGAAGAAAAATAGGCACTTTTATTTCAGCAAGTCATTGAATTAAACAATTAAATTTAATTATCAATGAAACAATAATTTTAAAAAAGGACACCTTCAGTTTGTAATATTCCAAATGTTTAGAAAAAATGCATTATCTGTATCTAACACATTGAAAATAACTAGAAAACAAAACATCCTGATAATGAAGATTTATTTAAAACCCTTAGTATTTTACTTGCCTTTTAAACATTGAGCTTATTTGTATTAAAACCATGAATCAGAAGGACTACACATTGAGATAATGTGCCATAAATTAAAAGCAAAACCCCCAAACAGGAAAAGAAAAATATGTATATCTAATATCACTATTACTCAAGATCATTCTGAAAATTTTAGAGAATGCAAAAAAGAATTAAAAAATTAGGTGTAAATATTACAAAGCCAGACATAAAAATCGTTATTGCTAGAAGTTACATAATTATTTGGAAAACCCAAATTAAATGACTATAAATGATTACATCCTATAATAAAGATATATAATGTGGTCAGTTACCAAAAAATTCAATGTTTTCAATGTAACATTAAAAATTTAGTCAATGCAATACTGAAATTATTTGACTTGCAAAACAATGAAAGTATGCAATACCCCAGAAATGATTGTAATATTCTAGATTGTAAGGGTCCAGATTTATTTGAAATATATCAACAAAGATTGCACTATATCACATTGTAATGGTTCAAATTTATTTAAAAACATCAATAAAGATTTGGAAAATAATTTAAGAAGCGTCTCAGTAATCGTTTTTCTATATTTGCTGTGTGTTAAATCTAAGACAATAAATATTCCACCAAGTAGCTTATAAATTCAAAGAAAATTTTAAGAAACAACATACAACTTTATTGAATGCTGATTTTTGGATGTGTGCAAGTATTTAAAAAATTAAAATATATTGTTTATGAATCATTGCAACTACTATTATTTGCAGATGAAGAAACTGAGATTAAGTGGATGATAGAGGACTAAATCACAAAATTAATGGATTAAATAAATATTAGGCAGTCCAATTTCAAATCTCTCACCTTAATAATTTATAACATATTTCAAAATCCTAATAAAAATTTGAGTAACTTTTATCACATACTTTAAAATTTATGAGAGTAAATAAAATTAATCTTTAAAATTATAGTTTTTTAAATGTTAAAATGTATAGCAAAATTATAGTGATCAATAGTAAGACACAGTATAAGAAAGAGAAGATAAAACTAATTTTTAGCGTCAGCCAAAACTAGCATGTGGTAAAGATGGTATGTGAAAAACTACAAATTGATGCCATATTTGCTAAAGAGTCCCAAAGCGGCTAATTATTTTTAATTTACAAATAGATCCCCAATAATATATCATGAATAATGCTTAATTTAGATTAATTAGTTAAGTATAATGTGAATCTACCAAAGAACAAAAAATTGGGAAAATATTTATATCATTTCAGAATAGAAAGGTGTTTATATAAATAAAAATAATTTCAATGGATATAATTTAAATTTTTGCATATAAAGCAAACCTAGAAACAAAGGGCTAGGGATTTGACTCAGTGGTTCCACCCCCTGCTTTGAAAGCGGAAGGACCTGAGTTCAATCCCTGATACCAAAAAACAAACAAACAAAAAAACAACCAAACAAACAAAAAAACTAGTAACAAAAATGTAAGCCACCAACTTGGAAAGTGTTTTTAATATGCTTGAAATCACAAACAGGCTATTAAAAACAAATATTTCTTAAACATATGTAAAACTATTCAGCCTCACTTTTAGTTGGTGAAAGCTAAGTTTAACAGACAGCATTCCCTTCCCCTTTCTCAAAAATGTTTAAATGGCTAAATGATGTGTTTTGTAGGCCTCAATGATATTCCCCTATAAATATTTCTTCAGAGATTTACAATCAAAACACCTCAGGTGCTGATAGCTACCATTCTACTCTCTGCTTTTGCAAATTTAACAATTTTAAATTATTCATATAATCCAAAGTGAGATTGTGCATGTCTTGTAATTTTTGCATGGCTTATATCACTTAGCATAGTGTCCTTCAGGTTCACCTATGTTTTTACAAACAACAGGATTTCTTTCTTTTTTCTTTTTAAGGCCAAGATTATTCTATTGTTTATGTATACCACATTTGCTTTTTGTTTTTTAAGAGTAGGAAAAATTTATTGAGAGAAAGATAGTTTCTGTCTAAGAGAGAGAGAAATGGGACTTGAAAATGGGTTGCCTGCCCACTCTGCTTCTCAAAGTTGTTTTATGGGACAAAGCCATGATGTGAGGTAGGTTCAAGGTGGGACACAACTATAGTCAACTAGTAAGATTATAGAATTAATATGAGGAAAAGAAAAAATGGAAACAAAGTCTTTGTAGATAGGGAGGGAGGGGTGGAAGGGAGGGCAGGGAAATTAAGAACCAAGATGAATTATGAAAGGTGCAAATTTCCAACAGTGAATGTCATTATATTTTATACTTTAAATGTACCAATAAAATTAATTAAAAAACCAAGTACTGTCAGGTGGGCAATATTGAACCAATGAGAAATTACAAGGTGGACAAAACTATGATCAACCAATAAGATTATAACAAGTACAGTTGCTTAGGTAATATTGATTAAATGGGGATCAAATGGGGAAGCAAGTCATGCAGCGGGCATAAAGAATGAGCAAGGATTTTTAGTAAGGGATGAATCAGGGATCTTTCCTAGAAGAGCTTGATTTCCCTATGCAGGTAATTGATATCTATTTAGAATATCAATCACCACTATTCCTCCCTAGGGGAAGTACACAGGTGTAGTAGTTTCTCTTCTTTGACAATGCTGGCCTCCAGTAAATGTGCCTTGATTGTCCTCCATGTTGGCTCCTCAATGAGGGTCATCCCTATCTAACTTCCTACAAGATATCTAATTATCTACAGTATTCCCCCTCTGAAGAAGTACCACTAACTGCCTTCAGGAGGGAGGGGGTGAAGACGATGCTAGCTACTTCTGGCTGAAGAACTATGGAGAGCACAGCCATACTGACCTGTGATTCACCCGAGCAGTGTGGGCATGATGTCGCCCATAACAACGGGTGGGTTCAACTGGTGGTCTAACCGGTTGCCTAGCAAAGGTAACCCATAATAGTTGTTATTGTACTTACGGTTTCCTTCCGGATGTGGGTGGTACTCTCTTGCAGCTGCGCAGCTGGAGAGTATAAAAGGAGAGGTCCGGTAATAAACAGAGCAAGCAAGTACCTTGAGAAGAAGAGTGCCTCCCGTCTCTCTGTCCTCGTCTTTTCAGGTTTAGGACCTGCTGGCAGGATCCTGATGTCGCGGCTCGCGACAAAGAACGTCTCAGTTGTGATTGGAAGTCAGAGTCAATTGACAGAGGGTTTCCCCAAGGCCTAAGATAGGTACCAGGTACTGTCGTCCATTTTGAGTCAATATAGTGTGAGATAAAGATTCAATTACATTCTTTTGTATTTAGATATTGAATTTTCCCAAGACTATTTATTAAAGATACTTTTTCTCATTTTGTGTTGTTGGCATCTTTGTCAAAAACCAGTTGGCCACAACTGCATGAGTTCATTTCTAGACTCTGTATCTTTTTTAAAAATTATTTTAAACTTTTATTAACTTTGTTGTGCATTTAATATATACAAAATAATGACATTCATTGTTGGAACTTTGTATCTTTGCATAATCAATCTTTGTTCTTTATTTTATCCCTAGTCCACTGCCCTCCCTTGAGCCCCTCCCTCCCAATCTACAAACACTTTGTTTCCATTTTTTTTCATTTTCTCATATTGATTCCATTCCTTTCTTTCTTTTCCACTACCCCTCCCATTGCCTCTTCTTTTTTGTCACTTTTCTTCCTGTTTCACATTATCTATGTTTCTCTGTGTCTTTGTATCAACTACAGCTTTGTAATTCATTTTGAAATTGGGTAACAAAATGCCTCCAGTTTTGTTTGTTTCACTCTAGACTGTCTTGTCTATTCTTGGTCTCTTGTGATTCTACTTGAATTTTAAGAATGATGTTTGTATTTTTATGGAAAAATGACCTTGAGAATTTCATGGGAATTGTATTCAATTCTCTGATCACTTTGTGTAGAATAGAAATTTTCACACTACTTATTCTTTCAATCCATAACAGAATACTTTTCATTATTTGTGTCTTCTCCAATATGTATTGGTTGCCTGAGTACAGATCTGTCACTTTCTACATTAAATTTATTTAAAATGTGGAATGCTTCAAGAATTTGTGTGCCATCCTTAGACAGCAGCCATACTTATCTTCTCTGTATTGTTCCAATCTTTGTTTATGTGCTACTAAAGTGATGTATATATACTGTCAGTTATTGATATTTAAGAGTTATTCATGTGTTCTGGATACAAATTCCTTATAATATATACAATTTGTAAATGTTTTCCCTGTTCTACAGTTGTTTGTTTTTTTTTTTAATTTTCATGAGTGTGTCCTAAATTGTGAAAAGTTTAACTTTGATAAAATCTTATTTATGTATTTTATTCATATTTTAATGTTCTATATAAAGAAACATTATTTATCCTAGGATTGTAAAAATTTTACTTCAAAGTTTCCTTTAAAACTGTTGCAGTTTTCTGATAGGTTAATTATATATTTGAAGTTAATTATATATTTTGGGAGTTAAGTGTTTAATTTCATTCCTTTGCAGGTGGCTTTCTAGTACTATTTGATGAAAAGACAATTCTTTCCTCGTTGAAATTGCTTGGTGTTATAATATTATTTTTACTATTGTTTGTTGACTTCCCTGAACTAAATTTGCAAAATATGTATTTATTTTTAAATTTGGACACTAAGTCTGTTTAGTAAGCCACTAAGGAATGGACAGGTTGACTTATATGTCTTGAATAAGTAAGTCTTCCAGATTTTACCAGATAGCTCTCTGTTATTTTAAGGCATGTTTCAACATTCCAAAAAGAAGACATCATTTCCTGTTTGTGGTGTCCTGAAGTTCAGCTAGAGGTAAATGATTAGGTCATTCTTAGCTCTTTTGTTAGGATATGGACAGCTTTTTTTTTTTTTTTTTTTTTTTTGACAGTCTGAAGGATGTAGCAGAGTTTACAGCCACATGTAAAAATGTTTTTTCCCATATTTTCCATTAAGATGCTTGGCCTACCTCTTGTTAGTATTGACTATTATTTCTATTTCAGGTTGATTTGCTGTGAAATAATTATCACTGCTTACTTTCAACAAATGACCTAGGGGTGGAGGTATGCCCACATAGCAAATACTGAGTCAGATCGAACCTGAGAATGGAGCTTTCCAAGGCAAAACTTGAAAATGAAGCTTTTCGAGGAGATTTCAGATTGTGATGCTCTATAGAAATGGGCCTTGGGGAAGGGACATATGGGGAATTTCCAAACCCAACCCAATCCATTGGTTGCTTATTTTTTCAGCTCCAGGGTTAAGAGACTCCTGGCATTTTAAAGTGCCAAGGATCTGAGGCTAGGAATATGGGAAGAAGGTAAGTTAAACATTTCATGCATTTGAGAGTTTTTACAAATATCCAGTGATTTTTTTTTCCAAGCAAATTCTTTTTAGACTTTTATAAGCTGTTGATTAATTTCCAAGATACCACAAAAGTTGCTTTGATTTTATTTATTTATTTGATTGTGTTTACTGGTACATTTTAGGTATACAGTACAGTTACATTCATTATTGGGATCTTGTACCTTTACATGATAGGTATTGGTTCTCATTTTTTTCCCTTGTCCCTGCCCTCCCTTTACCCCTCCTCCCCTCCCCCTTTACAAACACTTTATTTCCATTTTTTCATTTTTTCCTATTTTTTTCTTTTCCCTTATTCTCTTTCCCCTACTGTTCCCACTTTCCCTATACCTTTAGCCCTTTTCTTCCTATTTCACATTGTCAATTATCTCATTAGGATCTTATGTACTGTTTTAGTTTTTCACACCAGAGAAACTATTCACTATTTATATATGTGTGACTTATTTATTTCACTTAGGAGTATATCCTCAATATGTATACATTTTCCTATGACTGAATCTACTTTCTCATTCTTATGGCTGAGTAGCATTCCATTTTATAGAAAAACCATATCTTCTTTATCCAGTTTCCAACTGATGGGCAAATGGGCTGTTTCCAAGGTTGAGCTATTACAAACTGTGCTGCTATAAACATAGGTGCGCTATATCACTGTGATATGATTCTTTTAATTTTTTTGGAAAGATACCCAGCAGAGGGATGGCTGGGTCAAATGGAACTTCCAGTCCAAGCTCTTTGAGGTATCTCCACATTGATTTCCATAGTGGTTGTACCAGTTTGCACTCCCACCAACAGTGGAGAAGGATTCCTTTCTCCCCGCAACCCCACCAATATTTGTTATTGAGTGATTTCTTGATAGCAACCATTCTTTGTGGGGTGAGGTGGAATCTCAGTGTTGTTTTCATCTGCATCTCTCAAATGACCAGTGACATGGATCATTTTTTCATATATTTACTTGCTGCTTTTACTTCTTTGTCTGAGAAATGTCTGTTCATTTCAGATGCCCATTTTTGAATTGGGTCTTTATATTTGGGGGCACTGATTGTTTTGAATTCTTTATATATTCTAGATAATAGTCCTTTGTATGAGGAGTAGCTGGTAAAAATATTTTCCCACATTGTAGGTTGTCTCTTAGTTCTGTTGATGGTTTCTTTTGCAGTGCAGAAGCTTCTTAATAAGATGAGATCCCAGTTGTTGATTCTTTCTGCTAGTTCTGATGCTTCTGAAGACTTGTTCATGAATCTTTTCCTATGCCAATATCTTCAAGCTTTCTGCCTAACTCACCTTCCAGCAAGTTTAATGTTTCTGTTTTAATATTTAGATCTTTAATCCACTTGGATTTTAATTTAGTGCATGGTGAAAGATAAGGGTCTAGTTTTAATCTTTGGCAGGTGGATATCCAGTTTTTCCAACACCATTTAGTAAAGAGGCTTTCTTTCATCCAGTGGGGACTGTCAGCTCAATTTTCAAAGATGAGGGAGCTGAGTACATCTGGAGTTGTTTTTGTGTCTTCCAGTATGTTCCATGGAACAGACTCAAGTCTGTTTCTTTGCCAGTACCATGCTGTTTTTATCACAGTGGCTTTGTAGTATAGTTTCAAATTGGGAATTGTTATACCCGCTGCCATATCTCTGTGTCCTGGGATGGCTTTTGCTATTCTAGGTCTCTTCTGGTTCCAAATGAATTTTTGGATTCTTTTTTCTAGTTTTGTGAAATATAGTGTTGGAATTTCAATTGGCATTGAATTGAATCTGTATAGCAGTTTTGGTAGTATGGCCATTTTCACTATGTTGATTCTTCCTACCCAGGAGCGGGGGATATCTTTCCATTTTCTTATATCCTCTTCAATCTCTTTTTTCAGAGTGCTGTAGTTTTCAGTGTAGAGATCTTTTGTTTCTTTTGTTAGCTTGATTCCTAGATACTTCATTTTTTTGGATGCTATTGTGAAAAGAATTGTTTCCCTAATTTCTGTCTCTGTGAGTCTGTTATTAGTGTACAAGAAGGCTATTGATTTTTGGGTGTTGACCTTGTATCCTGCTACTCTGCTAAAAGTGTTATTTAAGTCTGGAAGTCTTTTGGTGGAGTTTTTTGGGTCTTCAGTGTAGAGTATCATATCATCAGCAATTAATGACAGTTTAACTTCTTCCTGTCCTATCTTTATTTCTTTAATTTCTTTCTCTTGTCTAATTGCTATGGCTAATGTTTCCAGAACTATATCAAAGAGGAGTGGTGATAGTGGGCATCCTTGTCTTGTTCCTGATTTTAACGTGAAGGTTTTCAGTTTTTGGCCATTTAATATGATGTTGGCTATTGGTTTTCCATAGATAGCCTTTATTAAGGTGAGATATAGACCATCTATTCAATTTTTTGAAGGGTTTTTATCATGAATGGGTGTTGAATTTTGTCAAGTGCTCTTTCTGCATCTATCGAGAGGATCATATGGTTTTTGCCCTTGACTTTGTTAATATAGTGTATTACATTTATTGATTTATATATGTTGATCCATACTTGGATCCCTGGAATAAATCCAACTTGGTCAGGATGTATGATCTTCTTGATGACCCTCTGTATTCTGTTTGCTAATTTCTTATTAAGGATTTTTCCATGTATATTCATTAAGGAGATTGGCCTGTAGTTCTCTTTTTTAGTTGCGTCTTTCCCTGGTTTGGGAATCAAAGTGATATTTGCTTCCAGGAATGAATTTGAAAGTATTGCTTCCCTTTCAATTTCATTGAAAAGCTTCAAGAGTAATGGCAGTAGTTCTTCTCTAAACATCTTGTAAAATGCAGCAGTGAATCCATCAGGACCTGGGCTTTTCTCTGTTGGTAAATTTTTAATTACATTTTCAATTTCACTAATTGTAATTGGGGTGTTTAAAACGTTTATATCCTCTTTGTTCAACTTTGGTAATTCATAAGTATCTAGAAATCTGTCCATTTTTTCTGTGTTTTCCATTTTATTAGAGTACAGTTTCTCAAAGTAGGTATTGACTATCCTCTGGATTTCTGTTGGATCTGTTGTGACTTCACCTTTTTCTTTCCTAATTGTATAGATCTGCAGCCTTTTCTTTCCTTTTTTTGATGTGGTTAGCTAAGGGTTTATCAATTTTATTCATTCTTTCAAAAGACCAACTCTTTGATTCATTTATTTTTTGTATAGTTTTCTTAGTTTCCTTTGCATTGATTTCTGCTCTAATCTTTATAATTTCCTCTCTTGTTTGAACTTTGCATTTTTCTTGCTCTTGTTTTTCTAGGAGTCTAAGATTCATGATTAGATTGTTTATTTGAGCTCACTCTGTTTTCCTAGTGTGGGCGTTCAGTGCTATGAATTTTCCACACAGAACTGCTTTCATTGTGTCCCACAGATTCCTGTATGTTGTATTGGCATTTTTGCTTATTTGTAAAAACTGTCTGATTTCTTCTTTAATTTCCTCTGTGATCCATTGATTTTTTAAAAATAGGATATTGTTTAGAATTCCTTGTAGTGCTAGTTTGGTATTCATGAAGTTTCTCAGGTGTTCTTTGTCATGGATGTATCTTATTTCCCCATCCATTTTGAAAGAGAGTTTTGCAGGATACATCAGTCTAGGTTGGAGATTGTTTTCTTTTAGGACTTGAAATACCTCACTCCAGGCTCTCCTTGACCTGAGGGTTTGTGTTGATAAGGGCTTTCCTTTGCATGTGATTTGTTTCTTTTCTCTTACTGCTTGTAGTATTTTGTTCTTCTGTTGGGTTTCTGGGATCTTGATTATTATATGTCTAGGTGTTCTTTTTTTTTTTTATTGTGGCTA